CACTACTACTCCTGGTTTATGTGGTGCTGGGGATAGAACTTGAGCCTTTGGAAAGACATGTGAATACTCTACCAACCAAGATAATTTTTAAAGAAAACTAGAAATGTCTTGATAATTTTTAAAGAAAACTAGAAATGTCTTGAGTTGCTGTCTCCCAGAGGCAGAAGGAAGGGGACCCAAACAACACTTCACAGAAGAAAACCAAATCACAAAGGTCTCAAGCCCCCTTAGCAGGAGGGCTGAGGTGGGGGCTGTCCTCCACCCCTAGTCTTTTTCTCTTGCCCTGGTGAGAAGATGGCTACATTTCTGAGCCTTAGGGCTACCTGTGAGTCTGTGTCTTCTGAGCCTACTACCACACAGGGTTAAGAGCCCTACACAGGAGCAGCAATCCTTCTAGAAAGATCTCCAGGGACTAGGGAGGCCTTGTCACCTGTCTCCAGTCTGTGGAGATATCCCCATGTGGAACCTGCATCCCAGAATCCCCTGTCTTACCTTGCCTGGGATGCTGCTATATCTCTGCCTGCCTTTGTCTCCCAGCTGTCCCTCAGGGGCCCAGTGTCCTACTGGGAGACAGAGGTTCCACTCAGTGCCCTGCCTTTTCTGGGTCCCCAGGTTGCGGCAGAGCCACTTTCTATCTCAGTTCCTATGCACAGGCATGCTCCATCTACCATGAACTATTCCTCACCTTTTGCCCCTTGCCCCATGGTGTAGGTTGGCTCGGGAGTCATCTAAAATTAACCACAGGCTCCCCTTCACAACAGCAGCACGGTGTCAAGTTCCCAGTGCTGGCCTGTTCCCTTTGTCTCCCTCATTCTCCCCACCAAGAGACACTCAGTGATAGACATCTGACAGGGACCTGTCCCAGGTACCTTTCCTGTGGGGACTGGGAGGGAAGGCTGAGGACTACAGAGCCTCATGTGACTCCGGGCCATGTTGGGCATGGGGAATCAGAGCTACCTGTCTCATAACCAACACAAAGTATTCCATGTCCTTTCTCCAGGTCCTAGTTCCATCCCTTGCAGGGAGGGGCACCATGGAACGATTGCCTCTCTCTCACTCTGTGGATCCTGGCTAAGCCACTACTGTTCACTGTACCAGGTGTGGGGAGACCCCAGGAGACAATACAAGCTTCTGCTCCAGGCCTGGGCCCCCAGCACCGGTCCCCCTGCTTTCCTCCTCCTCAGAGGAGGAAATGTACTCTTTCCTGGGGTCTTATCTGTTCCCGTAACTCCAGGGCCATGTGTGGAGTTAAAAACACTCAGTAGGGCAAGAGCAAGGGTGACCCGAGCCTCCTCAGCTTCCCCAATGGCTTATGGACCCAAATGGCCACCAGGTGCTGCTGTCACCCCATCCACAGATCAGGCATCAGGAGTTTCACTTAACTCTCTGGGTGTCCCTTGAAGAGGAAGCCACACAGGATTGAATCCCTAACACCCCAGGCTGGAAGAGTGTGGAAAGAGAAGGGTCAGCAGGAGAACAGGGGAGGGGCTTCCCAGCAGTGCACACGGAACTGAGTGCAGAGGGGCAGAGGGTGCACTGGCCTCATGGTGGGCCTCTACAGTCAGGCCTCTGGATAGACAACCCGGTGCTGCTGCCACAGGAGCTGAGCCCATGAGGGATGCTGCAGGCAGAGTCACACTTTGGGAGGCCTCAGACCCCATCTGTCGCTCAGAGAGCTTTCTGCCTAAATTTAGCTGGATGCCTGGAGACTGCTGTATGCAGGGCTGGAGCAGTTCCCTGCACCAGCTCTCTGGTCTCCACAGCAGATGAAAGGCAGTGTGTGTGTGTGTGCATGCGTGCGTGCGTGCGTGCGTGCGTGCGTGTGTGTGTGTGTGTGTGTGTGTGTGTGTGTGTCCGAATGGCCAGGGTGAAACTCCATCTGGAGTGGGCACAGCCCAGACCATGTGGCTTCTGAATTCGAGGCTGAGGCTGAGGGACTAAGCACGTCTTTAAATCACCAGTTCCAATACGGTGGGGCAGATGCTGAGCCTGAGACACAGGGAGAAAGGTGTGAGGGAACACACTCATACTTATGCCTGGTCCACCACGGGGTGCCCTGCGCGTGATCTTGCACCCAGCTGATTGGCAGTGGTGGCCTCCACATGTCTGCAGAATGGGCAAACTGCTTTCTGGAACACATGTATGGGGGCATCACAGAATACTAGCTATGGGTCCAAAGAATTGTATAGGTCCTGTAGGGTTAGCTATGGATCCAAAGAATTGTATAGGCCCTGTAGGGAGAACACAACTTCTTCCATAATGCCAAGAACAACAAAGGCCATTGCAGCTGGGGACCTAAACACTGGGTACTTGATTTGTGACATTCACTGTGACTGGGTTGTCATGTGTCCTCTGAGCTACTTCATATAATCCTCACCACCAGCCTATATGGTCACTGCTAACAGTAACTCCACCATGAAGACAAGAAAACAGACAGAAAGACTGAATAACATGGCCAGAGTCCTACAGCTGGAGAGTGGCAGAGCTGGGATTTGAACCCAGATATTCCACATCTGGAGGTTTGCAGCAGTCTACCCCTTTGCCCCTCCCCATATTTCCAATTCTCCTGCCACTCTGGAAGAACTTTCTAGAAACCAATGTAGCAGGATTGGTTAGTCCAATGGTGGGTTCCACTCTTCAGAGCTCTTCCTAGAGTTCTCAAGCCCAGAGAAGCAAACCAAGGCCCAGAGGCACAGGGTTGGTTGGGCAACAGAAAGAGAAAAGCAGTTTCTCATTTACACCTGGAGCTGAATATCTCACCATGTCCTCTGTCTGGACTTTAGCAAGAAGCAGTATCTGTGCCATGCTACACATGTTCCTGTCTCTTGCTTCCATAGCCAAACCCAAGCATCTCCTCCAGGCAGCCTTTCAGATCCTCCCTGTCCACTTGCCTCACCTCTCCTGGGAGCCATCAGAATGCAGACTTTTTTCTCTGTCTCTCTCTGTGTGTCTCTGTCTCTGTGTGCTTCAGTTATCTGCTTTGTGGATGCTCAGCTGTTGAGAGGGCTTTCTGTGGATTGGGGACTCGGTGAACACATCTCAAGGTGTGACTGGGCAGCCTTCAGCCTTCTTTGGTAGCAGGCACCAGGCTGGATGCTGGGTGCATAGAGAACAGAGGCCAAGTCCCTCTCCTCAGAGTCACACTCACTTCTCTGGTAGCAGAGCAGAGCAGATGACTGGACTTTTTTTTTTTTGGTGCTAGAGCTTGGTCATGCATGGTCCCATGCCCTGGAGTCTGGAGAGCTTGATTAGTGGTAGTGGGGTTGTTAATATGGGGTTTACACCTGTTGGAGACCCTGAAGTAGTGAGCCACATCTGTTTTCAACATTAGCTCTTTGCCTGGGGAGAGGATCACAGCTTCCATCATCTACCCCTAGAACTAGGGTCTAGTGACATTTAAAGCAACATTCAGGTCCCCCATTCAAAGGCAAAGGGCACTCAAGTGTCTCTGCATACTGGCAGGCCAGATACCTGCTGGATGGCGGGTGAACATGGACCATTCTGCCAGAAATTGGCTGGTAGAACATGGGGGCAACATTCAGTATCCCCAAGCAGAATCCTCACCCTTCCAAGGGCCCCACATAGCTGTTTTCAAGCCTGGAGTCAGAATAGATGTTTTCTGTGTGTTCTCTCCCCACTGAATCATGCTACCAGACTTCTGGCTCAGCTAATGGGCAAAGTATCGGTGAGGGCAGGCAGAATGAGAAGAGCCAGCCTCCCCCAGCTTCTCCTGGCACAGGAGGGAAGACCACAGAGACTCAAAAGACACTAGGAAACAGAGAAGTACTAACATGTGACACCGGCGTATCATGAGCTCCACAAATCAAATCAGCTTCAGCACCATGATGTCTAGCAGTGTCCATCTATTAACACACGGCTTGGGGGACAGATTTCTCCAAACCTAGTTGCCACCCATATCCCAGACTGCATTCTTTACTTGAGGGAGTAACTGCTGTCTAATTAGAAAAATCATATTTGCCACTTATTGAGTACCTACTGCATGCCCAAGTCTGCATTAAGCTCTGATAGGAAGCACTGGCTTCATATTGCAGAGGAAGAGGCCGAGGCTCAGGGCAGCCATTGTTCCAGACCACAGGTCCTGGAGAGTCATGGCAGAGACTCCTGCCTGCTCTGGCTTTGCGTAGGGAAATATTCCCACATGGCTACAGTGGGTAACTAGCAGCAGACAGAGTAGGAATGGAGGCACAGCAAGGCTGGGCTCTCTACTCCACCTCTGGGAAAATGCCTCATCTCTGGCGCCTCTGGAGAGATGGGAGTCGCAGAGTGCTTCTCATTAGAAGCCCCAGGCCTGTTCACTCTGTGAACTTGTAGGACAGCCCTACTCCTTCTCTCCAGGGCAGAACCCATAAAGATATCCATCATTTTATCCATCATGGCCTGTAATTGGCTCTCCAGACCATCCCCTCCAGAGTCCTAGTGATCTTCAGACCTATTCAGAGCCTAGATTTGGGACTGCAAGCTGGAGGTGGGGCATGCTGTGACAACTGGCATTGGCTGCATATCTGCAGTGCTGTGGGTCCATGCCCCAGCCAGCCAGCCGGAGGATACCTGGCATGGTGGCAGAGTGGGCAAGGGGCTGGACTCTGAGGTACAACCATAGCATGGAACCCATGCTGTAGCTAGACATGGGCAAGCAGGGCATGGCTCCTTATTGAGTTCCCTCCAGTCATCCTACTGCCCCACCTCAAAGCCAGATGTCTCATGGTTCTCACAGAGGTGGCGGTGGCACCCCTTTAGGCTGACTTGTCACCTTTCTGGAGTGCAGCCCTTACCCAATTGTCTCACTGTTCTTTTCTCTGCAAGTGGCATGGGTCAGATGAGACCTATGATGAGATTCAACCTCCCTGCAAGAATGCAGCTAGACCCTGAAGGCATTTGTGTTTCAGCCCACTTTGGAGACCCCCCCACTATTAGATTTCATGGATGCAGGCCTTGACGCCAACTCCACAGCAGCCTGGGTTTAAGTCTCCCACACCTACCTTCAACAGGTGAGGTTTTGAGGCGCCGGCAGATGGCTTCAGTATCCCCATATGTCTCCTTGATCTTGACCACGGCCTCGGTTCCCCGCAGCTCCATGAGGGAGCGCAGCTCCTCCATGGTGCACCCAAAGTCGCCTCCATGGCTCGACTCATTTCTTTGGTTTTTGGAGTAAAAGTCGCTGTTGGTCATATCACCCATGTTTGCTGAAGTCTCTACTCAGGCTGGGCCTGAGGGTCAGCACTGGAAAAGGGACCTCTGGGTGATGGTTGCGAGTGGCTATCCTCAGTATACCCTCACCAGAGGGTAGTAGCTCCAGGCGGCCAACTCCGAATCCCAGGAGGTGGTGATGGCTGAGGTGGGCTGGCAACAGCACTGGAGAGCTCTGAGGAGTGTTCCCAGGAGTGGGGTGAGGTCCAGGGGCCAGAGAGGCTCAGGGTTGCTGACCCAGGAGTCTCCATTCATTGGAGCCCATGCTGTTCCCTGGGGCTGGCATCTACATGGTCGGGAAAGTTCCTGTGGAGACAATCACAGAGTGGGTGATGAGGATCAGACATTGAAGTCCCATGGGACAGGTGCTTAAGAGGGTCAAGGAAAAGGTGTTGACACACCATCCTCAGGAATCATTGAACACAAAATATACTCTACCGCACTTATCTGCTCAACTTCCCTTCAATACACCTGCATGCTGCCAATCCAATGACTACAATGCTATTCCAGTATTAAGGTATAGTCTGGGAATACTTCAGGACACACCTTAACCCCACATGACACGCTAACTTCCCACACATACCCTGGGGTGCAAATTTCTTCTTGCCAAACATGGCCCAGATGCTATACAACACACCAACTGGTTTCTTGGTGCCTATGCCATTGCCATATACATACCAGCACAGTGTTCCATTTCATGTCACCCTTATAGAGACACCTTTCATGCATTCTTTCACACACTGTCACATCTCTAGACATATAACTGAATGTCCCTTCAAACACATACAGCTTTTCTCTGTTTCCCTTTCTCTGACAGGCCCTATATGTTTACAAATGCTGTTGGTCCATACAATCTGGGACACAACTCATTCTCCACAAGTTCCTGATGCCTCCTCTACAACAATCCCTCTCACAGGCTCCATATCCACCCACAGTCTCTCACCACAGTCCCCCAGATATTCAGGAGACTGCTTTGAGCCCAGAGTTTTGGTTCCTAGCAAGAGAAGGGATCCACGGAACCCTCACCTGGAGCCCCACTGGTCAGCACCAAGGACAGCAGACAGCAGCCCACAAGTCCCTCTGGAAGCAGGGAGGAGGGAGTTACTTCTCCCTGCTGTCCAGGGCATCCGTGCAGGAGTGCAATGGCTGTGGGCTGCCAGGAAGAGAACCCAATCCACTAGGACATCCAACACCAGCAGCCGAGGCCCCAGCAAGCGTTAGGTGACAAAGGGCCCCAGCTGAGCTCAGTTGAGCCTGGCACGGGGATCAGCCCCTCCCATCAGCCACAGCCAGCTGGCCATCCTGAGTGTGCAGTGAAGAGCATGGGATGGAAGAAGGAAGGAAGGGCTGAGCATCACTCCACCCTCCACCTGTCTGACTTTTCTCCTTCACAGGCTTCTTCTCCACATTTTAAAGGCACCCATATCAGGTTGGTGTGTTTCATTTTCTCAGTGGGGAACACCAGGCAGGAAGGGAGCTTGTCCAGAGCTGTGGAGAGCAAGAGGGTGGAGGAGCCTAGAGGGCATGATTTCTTCCTCATCTTTCCTTGGGAATGTTCTCTCAGAAGTGCTGGATGGGGTGGACTGTGCAGGCAAACACTGGCAGGAAACTCATGTCAGAGTTGCATCCTGGCTGAGGCATCCTGTGCCATCCCTCAGGAGGCACTCCTAACATGGACTGGAAATGCAGCATGGCTTAGGGTCACTGAGAGAAACAGGTATCCCATGGAGCAGAACATGGTGTGGACATGATGCACCAAGAGGAGGCCTGGGCACCAGGGAAACAACACATGTCTGGAGCTTCCGTTCAATCCAGAGCTGGTCGTGCAACAACACCATCCTGAGCTCATGAGATCTGACTCACCTCAGAAGAAGGTGAGGTGGAGGTCAACTCTGTGCATGAATAGAAACAATAATCTCTTCTCCCTCATTTTTCTTTGAGACAGAATATCCCCAGACTAGCTATATAGCTGATGATGACCTTGACCTAGAACTATGGGTCTTCCTGCCTTGACTTCAAAAGTGCTGGGGTTACATGTAGGCACCACCCCACAAGGCCTTTCCCCTTCATGTCTTATGAAACAATTATATGTTTCCTAAGCATACATCAGATGCCATGCTAAGAGGTTTCTGTATGTACAGTATCACATGTGAGGGCTATGTGTGCAGGTCAGCAGTATAGTTCTGAAATCCATCCCCACTGACACACACACACACACACACACACACACACACACACACACCATATAACATCATCTTCTAGGAATTAAGTTCCAAGGATGCAGACAGTATATTTCATGTGTTGCTATGGCTAGAATGGTATCTTAGTATCCATCCTGTAAACTATGGATAAATGAATGAAATAAAATGAATGTCTCACTGAGGTATTTTTTTGAGACTCTTGTAGGATGTCCTCCAATGACCTTGAATTCCTGATCCTCAGTCTCTACCTCCCAGATGCTGGCAGTACAGGCATGCACCACCATGCCCAGATTCCCATTGGGTCTTTACAACCCCATGGGGTGGATATTATAATTAACCCCATTTTACTGAAAAAAAAAGAATGGGCCCCATGGGGCTGAAGAAATTTATCGAAGGCCACACAGAAGGGAATTTTTAAACTTTGGACTGTGGCCCACTATGCCACAGGAAGACGCATGTTCTAGGGAAACCTCTTTGGGAAATGCTGGCATCTGAGACTCAGGATTACTATGCTTTCCAAGGCTACAAGATATTGCAGATCCTCAGCAGGACCCTAAACCCAGCATACATCAGCCATAAGAGGTGTGGGGAACTCTCTCAGAGCACGAGGTTGGAGGAGGCTTGGGCCCAACACAGGAAGGACACAGGGACTTGTGTGTTGAGCAACACATTTCCCACTGCAGACTGTGTCTTGTGGAAACCCAAGAAAATAGGAGAAAAAGACCCATCAAAACCAAACAGCTAGAGATGATGATCAAATAGGGCAGAGTGACTTGTAAGGTGAAGATAAAATGAGGTGGAGTATTTTGGACCTTTGTTGGTGTCTGTATATGTAAGGTGTTCTAAGCTCAGGGTAGGCAGACCCCTTGATGGAGGGAGGGGTGGTTAGAAGTCTTTTAGAGCAGGTTTTACCTTCTCAAGGATAAGAGGCAACCTGATGACATACAGACTTTGTATTTGCAACCTGGAAGGCCTTGGTATAGGCAATAGGTGGGTAGCAGAAGGCAGAGGCAGGTGCATCTTCATGACCTCTGGCCTGCCTGATGCTTAGTGGCAGTAAGAGCACTATGGACTTGAGCTCATCTGTGATTTGCATGTGATATCACTCCATAGAAAGCCATTGATTGGGCATTCACTATATGCTAGGCACCTTAGTATGTTACAGGGATATCATCTCAGAGATAACATGATGCAGTGGCTCTGGAAGTTTGCATGCATTGGTTCAGATTTTTTCTTTTTCACCTCCCAGCAGAGGCAGGGACATCAGAGTGTCTCACCTCTGCCTTGGTGAATAATTGCATATGACATACTGAGGACCAGGCATAGTGGATGGAGAAGCACCAGGAAGTGATCATTAGTTAATAATCCACTTTGACAAAGGCTGCCTGGACATCACTACAGATCGCATGTGGACCTGAAGCCAAGGAAGGTGACTTAACTACTCAAGCTCTTGTGGGTTGGCAGCAGTGGACCTGGAATTTGAACCCAGGAGGCATGGGTAGAGAGACTCACTTATTCTGGGAGATCCAGGGCCATGCCTGTGATACTTCCTCAAGGAGTTCTCATGAGGCCTAAACCAAGCACCATATGGGAAGCAAAGTGGCTTGCAAATCACAAGGGGCTTTTAAACCTACGGTGCTGTTTTCTCTCCCTCCCTTGATACCTGTGGCATGGCTTACAGGCACTGATAATTACTTCTGTGGCAGCAAAAGCTGGGAGAAGCGTTAGCAGCAATTATCTCTGTGATCACAATAGCAGGCATGAGCTAATGGGCAGCTATTGATATTAAGAACTATGGGTTAAGATGAACTGATTTCCAACCCTATCCACCATCTATCTTACTTTTTCCCTCTACTTACCACCCACTGGTCTGCCCATCCATCCATCCATCCATCCACTTACACATCTCTCTTTCCATCATATTTCTACCCACCTATCAGCCCATCCATCCTTCAGTACATCCACCCACCCATCCACCATCTGACATGTTCATATATCCATCTATCCATCCTCATCCATTTATGACCCTTCCTTCTTTTTTCTCTTCCTTCCTCCCTTCCTCCCTCCTCCACCTTTCTCCTTCCTTTCCTCCCATCCCCCTTCTACCCACCTATCAATTCACCACTTGTGTATCTACCTTTCTACTCACCCCACTCGTCTTTTCAGTGACAGTATTGTGGGAATGCTTTTGGTGCCAGGCAATGAATAATCAAGATCTGGTCCCTTCCATCTAAGAACTGACAATCAGGGCAACAATGAAAATCATGAATTCCATGCTTGATGTGCCTGCCACCATGGAGAGTCCTGAGTTGATACCTTTTCTTGCATGTGAAAAGAGGCTGCCTCAGAAGAAAATAGAAATACATAACCAGTTGTTGGAGAGATAGTGTGACAAAGTACAGAGGGATGCAAGTGTGGGGTAACCAAATCAGCTACAACTCAGAGATTGAGTCACTCACAGGTGACTCTTCTCCTTCTGATGCTGCTACTTCCCCATCTCTACATCCCACAAGCACCTGAACAAGGTCACCTCCATGCTGAGTGCCTTGTTTTTTAATTTTTAAGATGAAAAGATTACTTTGGAATTTGCTTTGCCTGGGAAAGATGATCAATTAAAAATCATGGGGTTCACAACCACAGAAGCACTTGGTAGAACCAGTGATCTCAGGCAGAGAGAAGGAACAAATGACTCAAAAGTATGTGCCAGCTCTATCAGCTACCAGGCTCCAAGAGCCACATTTGCAGGACTTCCCTCCACCCAGGCCATGGCCTTCCTAGCAGCTGTTATCCTCCTCTGTTTCAAGTGTCATTTTCTCAAAGCTGTCTCTGGTCATTCAGCCTAAATATGTGCCCCTGGCTTGTTGCACAAATCACACTTTACTGCTCAGGCCTGATGAACTATCTGCCCCTTTTGCATGAGGCCTGGAGAGCCACACAAGGACAGAAGCCACACCCCTGTGGAGCCAGCATAGTACTGGCATTCATACATGTTCCATAGATGAATGAAGCCCTAGATGAGTCCTCAGGCTGCCATCTATGAGGTGAATGGATATGTTGATAGGTGGGTGGATGGATGTTGGATAGATGGATGTGCAGGGGGAAGAA